GAAAGGCCAGGGGTTACTGGCTCCCTTGTATGGGGGAAGGGTAGCCTAGTTCTCCCCCAACCCCCATGGCTTTGGACAGGTTCTCAGAGCTCTGCCCTTACACTGGGCCCTGGGCTGGGGGCTGCCTCTAGACTAGCCCCTCAGAGGCTCGGTCCAGTAGGGGGCCCTGCATGATCAGATGGACCTGGGAGAACTTCCCAGAGGCCATCCTTGAGCTGGGCCTGGGAGGATGAGTGAAGATAGGTGGAGTGTGGAAGGTGTTTTGGATCAGACAAAGTGTGGATATGGGACAAAGGTTTGAGACAGGAATGAGCATGGCCTGGTTAGGGAACAGTAACCAGTAACCAGCCTGGCTGCTGTGATGTGGTGGGATATGAGGTTGTTTCCTCAGAAGAGGCCTTGAATGCCAAGCAAGAAGCCAGACTGCTGAGGTGGGGTGGGAATAAGGATGGCATGAGGGCTTTTGGGCTTCAGCAAGAGGGTGGAGTTAAAGCAGGGTTCAGGCTGGATGAAGTGGGACCTGAGCTCAGGGTATGGTATGAAACTTCAGGGGATTGAGGAAGGAAAGATAGAGACCCTCCTGGTAGGTTGTGAGCTCTGCCTTCTAATTTGTGAGCTGCCTCAACAGGAGCTGGGCTGTCTGCTGGGACTAGGGCCCCAGTGGGCAGTCTTTCCTGAGATCTCCCTTCAGGCCTTCATGCTGCTGCTGTTACTTCTCCTTGCCTTGAGCCTGAGATCGAGGGGAGAGGTGGGACGCCATCTGAGGCTTGGGCTCCCCCATCTCTGGCTATAAAGCCCTGCGATGGGAGAGGGGAAGGGTATGGCCCGGGCCGCTCCAGCTTCTCTGCAGTTTCCTCTCTTGCCACCTGACTGCAAGACAAAGAGGGATCAGACCCTGCCTCACCTGCCAGGAACAGTGTCTTGAGCCTGCCCGAACTGCTGGAGAATGTCCCTGAAATCCACTGCCCAAGGCCACTCCAAGAGCTCAGCCCTGGAGTCAGAATTTGGGCTGAGTGGCCGAGTGCCTTGTGTGCACATTTGTGCACCAATGGTGGCACGGGGGCTCTCATGGGAGTGAAACCCTGTGTGAATATGCAGGCAGGTTGGAGGTATATACGTACAGGTGTCTCTGTGTGTACAGGTGAACAAGAGGGTATGCAAGGCATGGGTGACTGTGGGGACCGCAGAGCTGAGGCTCTGGAAGGCCTCCATTTCACTGTGAAGGGCTTGTCTGCTCTGGGAGGGAGCTTAGGTGAGTGGACACACATGTGCTCACTCGCCTCCCCCAGCTGCCACGTGCCCTGGAAGGACCCATCAGCCCAGGGCTGTCTGCAATCCCCCAGCCACCCACATAAAGCCCAGCTCACAGCCCCCTGCCCAGCTTTGTTCTCCGCCTGAGCAGAGGGGGTGGGGCTGAGGTGGGGAGGGCTTCCCATCCCAGAGTGTCCAGAATTGGGGAAACAGAGCTGCTGTGAAGCTTCTGCTCAGCAGGACCACGAAGGAGGCAGGCCTCAGAAAGCCTCAGTCCTCACAGGCCTCTCCCTGCACTTGCTGACTGCCCACGGAGCCAGGATCAGAATGGGAACAATGAAGAAGGGAGCGTTGCTTATCAGACCCCCACTCTAGCCCTGCCTGGTGGTTCCTCTCTCTACATACTGAAGACAGGAAATTAAGTCACCAAAGTGGTAACTGACCTCAGGTCACACTTGTTGGGTGTGGGAAGGGATTCAAATGCAGGTCTGTTCTCTTCCCCATCCAGCATTTTGCTTGTCCTAGGGGCAAGTGGTTCTGAGGCTCAGAGAATGCCCCACTGTTGCCACTGCTTGGAATTCCAAGAGCTGGGGGTCAAGGGTGAGGTGGGGATGGGCCTCCAGCTTGCCTAGAGCCTGGAACAACAGTAGGGGTGTTGGCAGGGAAGGGAGGTGGGGCTCAGGTTGTGATGGCGGGAGCTGAGAGCTTGGGCTTCATCCCCAGGGCTGGGGTGGGGGTGGGGGTGGGGGGGCGGGCTTGGAAAGGTTTTCAGCCGCAGAGTGATACTGTCATTTTTGGAAAGATCCTTCTGATTGCTTAGGTAGAGAATGGATTCAAGGGGGCAGGATGGGACAGGACCAGAGAGGGGGCTGCTTCCTAGGCCAGGTACGAGGAAGAAGCCCGGACAAGGGCAGCTAGGGAGGGAGGGAGGCTGTGCTTCTGCACACGCCAGCTGAGGCCTGAGAGCAAAGGAGGCAGGACGCTGGGGCTGAGACAGGGTCTCACGCTGACCTCCAGGAGCGTCCTGGCCTTCGTCTTTGTTGGCTAAGTGACTTTGGGAAGCGACTTCACATTCCTAGGTCTCAATGTCCTCATCTGTAAAGTGGGAATTGTAAGCCATGTTTGGGGGAGCTATGGGGAGTCAGGGAGTTGACAGCTGTGAGAGAGCTGGTGCCCAGGTGCTCAGCCAGAGGGGAGAAGCCTGCAGAGGCCAACCCGGGAAAGGAGGGAGGGCTGCTGATTGCTGGAAGATTGGATATCCTGGGGCCTGGATCCTATCCGGACCCTGGTGATCCTAGAGTTGTCTCAGGCCGGACTGGGCCACAGTGGGAGTTCACTGGCTGCCCTGCCCTGGCCAGGCTGTGACTCTGGTTTTGGCAAGGAGACGGCCAAGAAGCTGGACGCCATGGGCTTCACGGTTCTGGCCACCGTGTTGGAGCTGGATGGCCCCGGCGCCCTAGAGCTGCGTGCCTGCTGTTCCCCTCGCCTAAGGCTGCTGCAGATGGACCTGACCAAGCCAGCAGACATCAGCCGAGCACTGGAGTTCACAAAGGCCCACACCACCAGCACGGGTCAGTGGCCGTAGCTCCCCCAGGAGAGGGTGTGCTTGGGTGGGAGTGAACGGGCAGGGATTAGAGGTTTGCTGCTGGCCTGACCCAGAGCTTCGTCCTTTCTTTCTCCCCCTTCTCCGTGCCCTCAGGCTTGTGGGGCCTGGTCAACAATGCAGGCCACAACGATGTGGTGGCCGATGTGGAGCTGTCTCCAGTGGCCACATTCCGCAGCTGCATGGAGGTGAATTTCTTTGGTGCCCTTGAGCTGACCAAGGGTCTCTTGCCACTGCTGCGCCGTTCTAGGGGTCGTATCGTGACTGTGGGCAGCCCAGCAGGTGAGGGCCCTTCCCCACTGGAGCGGGGAGGGGTGCCAGAGCCTCTGGCCCAGGCTGAGCTGCTTCACTCCCAATTCCTCCCCAGGAGACATGCCATACCCGTGCTTGGCAGCCTATGGGACCTCCAAAGCGGCCATGGCGCTGCTCATGGACACATTCAGCTGTGAACTTCTGCCCTGGGGGGTGAAGGTCAGCATCATCCAGCCTGGCTGCTTTAAGACAGGTGGGGGTCAGGTTTGGGATGGGGGGGTATGTGGGTGTGGTCTTCTCTGGGGTGGGATCAGGTCTGAGAAATGGGCATGGCTCTGGTTGGGGGCAGGGATCGGTTTGGGAGATAGACGGGCCTGAGTCTGGCTTTGGCTTCCCTAACTGACCTCACGCTGACCTTGCCGCTCCTTCTCCCCCCTCCCCGCCCCAGAGTCGGTGCAGAATGTGGGCCAGTGGGAGCAGCGCAAACAGCTGCTGCTGGCCAGCCTGCCCCGAGAGCTGCTACAGGCCTATGGCGAGGACTACATCGAGCACTTACACGGGCAGTTCCTGCACTCACTGCGCCTGGCGCTGCCAGACCTCAGCCCGGTCGTAGACGCCATCACCGACGCTCTGCTGGCCGCCCGGCCACGCCGCCGCTATTACCCGGGCCGCGGCCTGGGGCTCATGTACTTCATCCACTACTACCTGCCTGAGGGCCTGCGGCGCCGCTTCCTGCAGACCTTCTTTATCAGCCACTGTCTGCCGAGAGCGCTGCGGCCTGGCGGGCGTGGCTCTGCCCCAGCCCAGGATGCAGCCCCGGACCCGGACCCGGACCCAAACCCAGGCCCTTCCCCTGTGGCAGCGCAATGAGCAGTGCCTACAGAAGGCCTAGCTGCTCCGGCAGAGGAGGTCCCAGGAGCCCTTGGCCCTCCCCTGGGTATGGTGACCCCCAAGTCTGCCCTAGAGCCTGCCCTAAAGGACCCCAGCCCTACCCACTCGGTCAGTGCCCCAGGCCAGGCCTGGTGAAGCAGAGGCTTCCCAGGCAACCTCCCGGGCTCTCTCCTGCTTCGTGAGCCCACACAGACCCTTCGGGGCGCAAGGTTCCACCATGTAGCTGGGAGAACCCAGCTGGATGGGGAGTTTTGTGCAAGACTTGGCTGTAGACTTTGACAGGATCCCGCAGACAGTGCCTCTGCAAACTAAGGAGTGACTGGGTGGGGTGGGGACCACCACCCCTCAGGATTTTTTCAAGGCACCAGTGCCTCAGTGCTGCAATTCAAAGGGTGAATCCTGTTTCTTGACTGGCTCAAGAATTAGGGCCCTGACCACCCATCCCAAGCCTCCCTAGCCCCAGGGAGGCTGCATACCCCACCTGCCCAACTGCCACCTTTTAAATACAAATTTTTATTTCTCCTAGGATGGAAAGATGCTGTGTTGGGAGAGGGGTGACTGCCTGGGTGACAGGCTGTGGCTGGGTGACAGACTGCGAACTGCCTGGGGAACCCCTGGTGTTTAGCATGGGCCAAGGCTCTGTGGTTCACACCTATCCCCCTTCACTGACTGAGGGTAGATCATTTATCCACAGGTTTGGGCTTCCTCATAGTGAAATGGGGGTAGTGCCCCTGGCCTAGGGCGTAGTGCCCCTGGCCTAGGGCGTAGTGGGACTCAATGAGGCAAACAGGGGGGCCTGGGACCCTCCAGGGCCAGGACCCAACTCCACAGGCCTATCTGGGCCCCCAGTGACTTCCCCCGCACTGCAGCACCTGGATGCACAGGGAGAGGGCCAGCGAAGGAGGTCGAAAGCTTGGGGTGGGGGCAGGCTCGACAAGGGTGGCACCCAAGGGAAGTTGGGGGTCTGGAAGAGGTACTGGGGCCCAAAGGAGACAACAGACAGTTAGGCTTAGAGAGGGCAGTTTATTGTCTCAGGGGGCAGAGCTGAGGGACAGGGTTGCAGAGCTATGCCTCAAGGACACGTACTCTATCCTTCCCCTGGGCCAACCACAGAGGAAAGAGGAGGCTCACGCTGCCCCAGGGGTTCTCAGGGAAGTGACCACATGCTTCTCAGACATGTCAGTGGCTGTAAACATAGGGCTGAGGGGGCCTCCTTGGGGCGGGGGTAGGGGAGAGGGGGAATTGGTCCATCCTTGGTAGGGAGAGCAGGTGCCCAGCCCCTTTTCAGGCCCAAGAGCCATCTCGGAGAGGGTCAGGGAAACCGAAAGTCACTAAGACAACGTGCTACCCCCCAGGGCAGGCATGTGAACCATGGGCTGTCACAGCACACGCAGACACACACTTGTGGGCATCCTCGGGCCAGGGCACTAGAAGATGGGGATGTAGTTGTCGATCTTGGCGCGGTGGCGCTGGGCAATGCACTCGGCAATCCACACAATGTTGCGACACTCTTGCTCCTTGAGCTTCACAAAGGCGTAGAAGATACCAAAGTGGAACTGGTTCAGGAAGGCCAGCTTGTTCAGTTTCACCTACAGACAGAGGCAGGCGTGGTGTGCAGGTGTCCGTGACCGCAGAGTCAGGCCCGGGCCACCAACCCTCCCTACGATGAGCAGGGGAGCAACCCCTCACCTCATGCTCGAAGAATCGGTCCTCCAGGGTCTTGTCTCCAGGGTTGCTGCCTGCGCCCTCGAAGAGCAGCTTGTACTCCTGGCCCAGGGGAGGGATGGACAGCATGAGTGTGAGGTGGGGATGCAGATGCCCGTATGCCTGCCCATCATGCTGTAGCCAGGGCACTCACCGGGTAGTAGTCGGCCACACTCTTCACCTGCTCATAGTCATCAGCCCGAGCCAGCTGGGCCAGGCCCTCCGGGTAGAGCCTCCCGCAGTGCGGAAAGAGCTTGGCACGGTCCTCCTTGGACAGCTCTGTGTCGAACGAGTTGATGGTGATGATGAAGGCTCGTCGGTCGGCTTCAAACTGTGGGGCCGAGGCACAGGCACAGCGAGAGGGAGGTGGAAGGGGGCAGTTGCCAGTCAGCTGTCAGGGCCTCCCCTAAGCCCGGGCTACCAGGGACCGGCAGGTGGGAGGGTGGGCAGGCACTTACCTCCAGGATGGGGCACATGGCATCGGCTGTGGTCCCGCCCAGTAGTGTGCAGAACTTGTAGAAGGACTCCAGGTAGGCCTGTGCAGAGCAGGGGGCTTACTCAACCCAGGCAAGGAACTGGGGGACCTGCCTGGCCTCCTCCTCACAGCTCCCTCTTTCCCTCCCCAGTCCCCTGCATGGTGAGTCCAAACATCACACCCATGGACTGGCCAGGCAGCCCCCAGGTCAGAGCCTCGGAAACATCCACAAATTCCAACCGTCAATCAGTTGGCCTACTGTCTCTTGGCACCCAGGAGTGACAGAGCAATTTCTGGCCGACCATCTGCGTCATGGTGCACTGCCCCCTACACGCCCCTACACCGTCATCCCACAGGAGGCCAGGCTCAGAGGGGGCTCGGTCTGCCCCCAGCTGTTCTGCCTGCCTTTCTCCCAAACCTCCCCTCCTCAGCCTCAGCAAACCACAAGTTGATGGGCTTGGGGAAGGAAGGTGACTCCTGAGAGTTCACGGAGACAGCCCAGCCTGGGTGCCCTGGTCCCTGTTGGCACCCCACCTCACAGAACTCCTTCCATCCCTCAGGTAGCTCCCAGGCATCATGAAGCGGCAAGCAAATTGTCAGCCCCGCTCCTGCTGAGGGATGGTTATTGCTTGCACAGACGTCAGCCCTGCAGTGCAATGGCTGGGCCCATGGGCTGTGGTGGGAACGAGCACATCCTGCCCGGACAAATTGGATCTGCTGGGCATGAGGAAAGGACAGGTCAGCTCAGGCCCTAGTTCCCTGCCAGCACCCGTTCATTCATAAAACCAACCAGGCACCTGTCAAGAGAGAGGGGATGGTCTTGCGGCGCCCCCCAGGGAGCTCCCTTCACTCAGATCCTCCTGGGTCCTTTCTGGTGGCCTGGTCACAGGAGCTCCACAGGCTAGAGATTATTCTTCAGGGTTGAGGGTCAGAGCTGGGAGGCGTAGAAAGCTTTCGGCACTGAGGTCTGCCCTCCAAGGTTCGGAGACCTTTCCACCCACCACTAGGTGTTTGGGGCCCCGGGTTCTGCTGCCCCAAGGAGGTGAGATGAGACTCAAGAGTCCACAAGCACAGGCAGAGCCTGGCCAGCAGCACGGGGCAAGCCGGGCTCAGGAGGAGGCCTGTGGTGACCACTCGGGTCACAGGAAACAGAAGTCTAGAACACGTCAGGGCGCCAGAAACCTGGAAGGAGAGAGTGGACCCCAGCACAGCAGATCCCCAGGAATCAGAGGGCTTGGGTGGCAGAAACCAATCTGCCAATCCTACCATGCTTGGTGGTGATTTAGTTCCTCTAGGACTGTCCCCAGCCACTTTTCTCCCCACGGCCAGCCAAGCTGGCTGTGCCCAAATCTCCAGGCTAGCCCCGGTGGGGCCTGCAGCTCCAATCTGTGGGGAAGCCACCAGCCTTCCCCGAGCCTTACCAGTCCCTGGAGAGGCTGAGCCCAGGGTCGGGGGAGGTGGTGGGATAGGCCCAGACTCTCTTCAGGATGCTAGGGCAGCTGAAGAAACTGGCAAGACCCCAAAGGCCCAGGTACCAGGGTTACCTCCCCACCCCCACCCCGTCCCCTGGAGCCTGCCAGCCCACGGCTGCTGCACCAGCTGCCTACAGCTCCCACCCGCCAGGCGGTTGAGGGTCCGTCTAATCTCCAATCTGTGGCCACTGGGCTGGGACACTGCCTGACGAGCGGGCGGTCCTGGCATGGCGCCCTCAGCCTTGGATCCGTGTTTACGAGCTGGTGCCCGAGCAGCCCTCGCCAGTGACTCCAGCTAGAACCAGTCAGGCCCGGTGAGGGTGTGGGTGAGGCTGGGGGGACAGCCGCACCCCTCACCCAGTCTCAGGGCAGGGATCCCGGCAGCAGGCCAGTTGGGCGGGCGGGAGCACTCAGATGGTGTGCGCACGCACAGCCTCGGCTGACTGCCTGGCCTGCCTCCCTGTTAGCGGGGCAGAGGAGAGCACGTGCTGTGCAAACAGGCTGAGCCAGGTGTGATCCAGGGCTGCCAGAGTCTAGCAAGTGGCTTCAGGCCACCCACCCTGCTTCTCTGAGCCCTCAGTTTCCTCATCTTACCAGTGTGGATACTGACGCCCCCCTCGCTCCTCGGGCAGTCCTGAGGATTAAAGAAGCCGGCGATCTTCCTAGCTCAGTCTCACCTCTCCGCTCTGTCCTCCACATCGCAGCCAGAGGGGGCTTTCTGATGACACTCTGCCCTGCTGTGGCAAACCTTCACTGGCTGACCCCGTCCACAGGATACAGTCCAAACTCTGGCCTGGCACCGCAGGCCCTGGGTGACTTGATCCTGTGCCTGCCTCTTTTTCCAGACCTGTGTCCTGCTGTCCATCTGAAACCTGCACTTCCACGGCAAACCGCTTGCCACTTGGCCCACGTTCCATGCTTGCTTCTGCATGTGCCTACACCACTGCAACCTACAAGCAGGCTCCTCACCTACCCCCAGAGCCTCCCTTGCACTCTAGCCCAGATTCCTGGAGGGAGACTGGAGGGCCTCAGCTCAGGCGGCGGCCCTCTGTTGGTCCCCTAGCTCCAACCCGGGCAGGAGAAGAACATCACTGTAAAGATCCGACCGACAGATGTTCTCAGGGTTAGGTCAGCAGGGCCCTTGGCCTGGGCTATCCTCAGCCCCCACTTCGGGGCCTGATCCATGGTCCTAGCTGCAGCCCATCAGGGGTCCTGGCACCACAGCTCAGTGCCTCACTACAGCCAGAGCCCAGTCTGTCCCAAACGTCCTTCACTGGTCCCTGGCCGGCCCCCTGCCTTGGCTCCCAGCCCTGCTCCTAGCCTCTCTGGGCCAGGGCAGTGCGGACCCATGAATCCCATGCTCACTCTATCTCCAGGGGTCACGAACCTGTGCCATAGCCTAGGGGGAAGCAGAAGGTGGGTGGGGGATGCGGATGCTGGGACGTGACACTGGTTCTAGGCCTGGAAACCCGAGAAGGACATGGTGACCTGGCTACACCTGGCTGGGTCCCTCCCTCCACCATAACCGAGCACAGTGTTGCCTCTGCTCAAAGCCTGTCCCTGCTGGCAACAGTCCAGGTGGGGTAAACCTGAAAGCTTTGGCCTGGGTGGTGGCCCGTGACCCTCTTGGATGCGGGGGGGAGCGGCCATCCAGGAGCCAGCTCTGACAGGCCAAGCTGTGGGGCACCAGCCACTCCTGCTGATCTTATCAGGGCCTGCCGCAGGCAGCACGAGATGGAGAACCTGTTCCATGCAGCCTGCACCCATCGTGGGAGCCAGCAAGTCAGTGGATAAGCCCCCAGGATAGGAGCCTGGTGCAGCTGCGTCTTGTCCCAGCACCCACCTAAACCACCAGCTCACCACACCAGGGGGCCCCTGCCTAGAGGCCAGCCCCCACCACGGGCAAGGGCACTACCTTGTAGAGCGTGTTGCGGATGATCTCGATGTTCATCTCATCAAGGTCCTGCTCTGAAATGCAGTCCTGGAAAAAGGCCGCTGGGGAAGAAAGACGTGGGGGTGAGGGTGGGTGACTGGATTCAGCCTAGGCAAGAATTCAGCTGCTGTTCAACCACCCCTGCAGGGCACAGAGGGCTCCTGCCACAAGGCCCGACTGCCTGGGGGTTGGGGGCCCCCTCAACCCCACCTGGGCAATTGCTTTAGAAGTGGAAGAAGCAATACTCGGGGCCATGTGCACTGACCTGAGCTTCTCCTGCATCCCTGCTCCTAAAACTGATTTATAAAGAGGCGGCCAGCCATAACATGATCTAATCGCCTCTGGGGCAGACCCAAGCTCAGACCATGCCAAAGACAGACTTGCATAAGAGGCCATGACATCCTCCTTCCTTAAGGGGCAGCTGTGGATTTGGGGTCTGATGCCCACAGATCTGCAACCCCCGGGAGGGCCTGGGGCCCACACTTGGGAAACCAGCCTCCTTCTCTTTCAGACAAGGAATGAGCTGGCTGGGCATGGACCAGTGACCCAGAGGGCCACTGTTGGGCTGAAAGTGGAGGCCAGAGCAGGACAGAGCCCCCTCTCCTGACAGGGGCCCTCAAGCTCACTGGTCTATCTCTTCTTTAAAGATGGAGAAACTGAGAAGCCACAAACAGCCCAGAACCAGCTCAGAGTTACTGGGACAGTCTATGGCAGATATGCCCAGCAGGTAGCGCTCAGGCCTCTTAGTACAGAAACAAGGGCAGCTTGTAACCCAGTGGTTTAACCCTGGAGGCTTCCCGGAGGTGGTGCCCTGCGGACGCGGATTGGGGCTATGAGGGCACTAGCTGGCGACAGCCTTAGTGCCTTCTCCCCAGCCTCCAAGGCAGGCAGGAGCCAGCACTGCCTAGGTGGGGCCCTGCAGGAAGCTCCCAGTTCCCCTTCCTTTCTTGGCCTCTGACACGAACCCTGCATCCTGCCGGACACTGCCTGACCTGGCCCCTGGGACCTGCTCTGCGGAGGCTAGTGAAGCTATTTGCTTCCCTCTTCTGCCTCACAGGCAGCCAGCCACTCTGGCCCAGCTTGGGGCCACAATCAAGCACAGTTTGAGCTCCCAAGACTCTGAGGGACCCGGGCCTCTCCCCTCTCCATGAGCTCCGCCCTCCTCCGCATCCTGAGAAATTGGCCAGTTTCACAAAGTTACATGCTCCGAGTCAGGCCCTGGGGGTAGCCTGCCTGGCCTAGCAAAAGCAACAGGAAAGGAGCAGAAGGCAGGGTGAGAGAATGAGAGGGAAGTCTACGGAAAGAGAAAGATAAGCAGCAGGGGGCAGGCCTCCCTTTCTGGCTCAGCATCACCCCCCAGGGGTCCCCACAGGAACCCCACATGGAGGCACTGCTCCCCACCTCCCCCCTCCGCCCCAGTGGCTCACCCAGGGGCGTGTCCACCAGAATGGCATTGTAGAGCTCGGCAGGTGTCTGCGCAATGTTCACAGCCTCCATCTGCTCAAAGCTGCCTAGCGGGTGGCACTTGGGTACAAGTTCGGCGATAGAGCGCTGGTGCAGCGTGCCCGTGATGAGCAGGATGACATTGTCAATCATGTAGCTGTAACTGCGAGAGGCATACAACAGCAGGGAAGCTGGTCAGGAAGAGGGGTCTGCAAGTCCTTGTCCAGCACTGTGCCCTGCCCCCACCCCGCACAGGTCCCCAGCCCCTCCATGGTGATGCCGCCTCGAGAATGCTGCGGGCCAGCACCATTGGCTCACCTCCCTGCCCAGGTGCACCCCTATATTCCAGCACCAGGAGTCCAGGACACACACGGACCCTCCCCTGGGGGTGTGGCACAGATTCACGCCCCCTTCAGTGGTTGGGAACAGGTAACTACCCCACAGTGTGAACAGTTCCAGCAGGGCACAAGGAGGGGGGGGTTGCAAGGCCAGCCTGGGGGATGAAAGAACTGGGAGATGAAAGTGTGTTCTGGGAAGGAGGAACAGTGTGTGCAAAGGCCTGGAGGCATTCATGAGTGCCCGCCGCATTCGAGGAACTGGGCACAGATCAGGGCTGCAGAGGGAGGGAACCAGGCCGGTGCAGCCAGCAGGCTGGGGCCTGGACACGGGTACTCCAGGCCAGGCTCAGGGCCCTGACTGCATTTTGAGCGCTAGGGATCCATGAGCAGGATGTAGGCAGGGAGTCCCACAGTCCCATTAGGGTCAATCTGGCTGCTGGGTGGGGAAGGCTGGGGGGTGGGGGGTGGTTATCAGGGAGAGAAAAGGCTGAGGGGTAGAGTGGGGAGAGAGCAGAGAAGGAGGCAAGGCCAGAAGGAGCCAGTGGGAGGGCCCCTCTGAAGTAGGGCCCCAGGTCAGGCAGAGATGAAACAGGTAGATAGCTGCCCTCTGCAGCCCCGCTCCAAAGGCAGAGCACCGCCTCCTCCCCAGGGCCAGAGGCCGAGGCCAGGTATCCAGCCAGGAGGCCTGGAGGAGACCCAGAGGCCCGGAGGCGGAACTCAGGTCATCCCAGGCCGAGGCTCCCCTGGCTCTGCGCTCTGGAGAGCGCATGGGCAGCAGAGGGGGCTATGGAGCTGGGGAGGGTGGGGCGGCCCGCCGCAGACTTGGCAAGGGGCAAGCTCTGCCTCCGACCTTTAAGACAATGCCACAAAGGAGCTGAGGCAGAGCCGTATAGTCGCCTATGTGGGCACTGGGTGAAAACGGGGGAAGGCCCCACGCACAGTCAGGTGGCAGTAACCACAACATTTCTCCAGCCTGTCACCAGTGATGAGCTCGGGGAACAAGGGAGTGGATGAGGCCCCGGGGGGCGGGGTACCACTGAAGGGTCAGAGCCGGGGTGGAGGCTTCTGCCCTGAACAGCTACTGAGCACAGGCCTGGCCCTAGCTTTTCGGTGGCCCACAGGTAGGCCCCTGTCCTAGGAAGGCTGAAGCTGTCCACAGAAGACCCCTGGTGAGCAGTGGCCCTAAATACCAAGAGAAAAATGGGAAAGGGGTGGCCCAGGCCTCAAGTCAGAGCCCAGCCATGTGGGGAGCTCCCACAAGGCCCTCCAGGAAGGCAGCAGGAGGAAGAAGTCACAGCTCCTGTCCTGGCCTGACCCCCACTCCCCCTTCTTACTGCGCCCTCCCCCAGCTCCCACCCAGCCCAGCGCCCCGCTGCGACCTCTGCTCTCCTGGGCTTGGGGCCAGGCAGCTGCCCTCTCTCCGCCCCCAAACCGGCTGGGTCAGCGACAGGATGTGCACTGAAAAGAGACAGGCCCCCCCCTTCTCAAACTGAGGGCTTCAGGCGGGGCCCATTTGTAGCTGCAAGCCAAGAAGTCCAAATGGCCAGCCTTCTGCCCCTGACCTGACAGAGCTGGCAGAGCAGAGGGACCTCAGAGAAAGCTCGCTAGAGCTCTGTGCCTTGGCCTCCAGCCCAAGCCTGTATCCCCTCCACCCCAGACAGCATCCCTCGTTCCCAATGCCTCCGGAATCTCCTGTAGCACAGTACCACAGGACTACATGTCACCTCCCGCAGCCCTCTACCTGCACCCCATCCAGCCCCACTCCAGCCGTCCTGTTCCCCAAGACTGCCACAAAGACCCCCGCCCCCCCCCCCGAAGATGCTCTTCTACACTCGCACAACCCTTTGGACAGGGACAGGGGGAAGAACATACTTCTTAGGCCTTTATTATCCTATTGATCCCAAAACCACCAGCATCAGCAACCCCACTGTCCAAAAAAGGAAGAAAGAGTACAGGCACTCGGCCCTGCCATGCCACTGGGCAGTTGAGCTCTATGTCCCCATTTCCAGGGTCCCCATGCCCCGGCACTACACTCCCCATCTAGCCTTGTCTTCTCAGAGGGATCCCCACAAGCCAGTTTTCTTTCTCTAAACCTCCCCACTCCTTGTGTCCACAACTCAGGGTATCTGTTTATGTTGGGGGTGGGCTGGGGTGAGGGTCCAGGGGAAGCGCTCATACTCCTCAGGGTCCTGGTGGGGACTCAGGGGAGAGCCCTGCGGGAAGACTCTACCATCCCAGCTTCACTGTTTCCCTCCAGTGGTGTGGAACAGGCCAGCTGTGATTCACGTTTCAGGCCTGAGAGCAGACGTGGGGGCCACTGGTAGCAGCCCCTAGCTACCCCCAGCCTCTCCTGCTAGAAGTCCTGGCTGGGCACCAAGGAAAATTCTGAGCCAATTAAGGGCCACTTCTGATCACATACCCCAGCCCCTTCCAGGGCCCCATTCTAACCCAGGCTAGGCCAGCCTTGGATAATCCTGTGCCAGGCCCTGCTCTTCCCTCTCCCTGAGTCAATGACAAGGTTGCTGCAGAAGCAGCCCCTGCTTTTCTCCCCGGCCCAGTGAGAGCCAGAATCATCTTTCCTGGGAGAAAAGAGGCAGAGCAGGCCTGGCAGAGATGGTGCTGGCTGTTTGCTTCTCCCCCAAGGCCAAGGCCTTCAGCAGGCAGGGAAATCCTCCTCCTCCTCTTCGCCTGGCTTCAGCAGCTGCCTCCCTGCCCCCAGAAAGCCACTCCACCAGTCCTCCCCTCATTTGGCCTCAACAGGAGAAAATGAGGTTCCAGCTGGTCAGCATCTCCCTCCAGAGGAAGACAGCTGGGGAGTGGACAGGCGGCTGCCCGCCAGGCCAAAGAGGCCCTTGTAGGGTGGGGAGTGGGGAGTCTGTATTCCTCTGCCCAGAGGCCCTCCCTCACCCTGAGCCTATAAGACTCAGCTTGGGCCCACAGAAGTCTCGGGTTGGGGTTTAGGAAGCCCCTTCTTCCAAGAAGTCTTCAGAGCCCCTAGCCAAGCCTGGTCCCTCTGCTGCACCCTTTGGCGCCACCTGCTGGAGAAGCATGGCTTGCTTCCCTGTTCTCATCATCCTGGCCCTGGGCGCTGGCCTGGCACTGGTGAGGAGCCCCCAACGGCTAGGTACCTCTGCCAGTCTGTCCATCCTACAGCTCCCAGCAGAGGCTGCTCATAAACAGTATTTGTGCTCAATCACATCAGAGTCCTGCAGAGCCCTGCCCAGGGCAAAAGGTGTACAGAGATACCAAGTCGTGGCCTCAGCACACTACCTGTCAAGCCGCAGTCTCCCCTCTGCAAACAGGATAACCGAAATGCAGCCCACAGCAGAGCTAATGAGTCCCTGACCTTATCATCAAAATCCTGCCCCTCCTCAGAGGCCCAGCTGGGTCTTCGCACTTGACCTAAGCCTTCTGGGTCTTGAAGAGCTCCTGTGAGCTCTCCCTCAGTCTCCGGAAAAGAGTCACTGCTAGCTCTCCCTCAAGGCCGGAGACAGGTCTAATGCAGACCCAGAAACCATGGCAGGTCTGGGGCGCCTGGGTGGCTCAGTCGTTAAGTGTCTGCCTTCGGCTCAGGTCATGATCCCAGGGTCCTGGGATCAAGCCCCACGTCAGGCTCCCTGCTTGGCGGGAAGCCTGCTTCTCCCTCTCCCACTCCCCCTGCTTATGTTCCCTCTCTAGCTGTGTTTCTCTCTGTCAAATAAATAAATAAAACCTTAAAAAAAAACAAAACAAAACAAAACCATGGCAGGTCTAGAGCCCCAGCTGTAGAGACCCTGCTGGGACCCAAAAACAGTGGTTGTAGAAAGAGAGGGCTAAAGGGCCAGGAGAGGGAGTAACCTGATAGGGAGTAACCTAAGGTAACCTGATGCCTCTGTGGCCCGTGGTGCAAAAAGTTCTGGGGAGAATGGCAGGTATGCTAAAAGGGCCACTGGGTACTGGAGGCCACTGTCCTGGGACAAAGCCTCCTTCCAGCTACCCACTCCAGCTGGTGGCACTGAGGTCCCTGGTACAGAAGAAAGATTGGACCTCACCTCTCCCAGATGGTGCCACTTACCAGGCCCAAGCTCTGCCAACGGGTACCTGGCTGCTGCTCACGGGGGAAGGCACCCTCCAGGGAGGCTCACATCTAAAGACAAAGCCTCTGCGGCCCACCTGAAACTTCCCAGAGACCAGACTCACCTCCCACAAGCAACTGTCCCAGCTACCCTTTCAGGCCTACTCTCCTCTGGGAAGCCATCACGGAATGGCCCAGACCAAGATGCCCGTCCCAATGCCAAAAGACCCTAATAGAGGCTCCATCCCAAGTCTCAAAGCAAGTTAATGGCTAGGCCCAGAGAGGACCCTTGGTATAGTGACATATTACATTTATCACCACGAAATTGAGCTAAATCGTTTCAAGACCACACGACTGATGACAGCCTACTTCACTACTATTCTCGCTTGCTCAAGGCCTGTCTGCCCCCACACAAGACAGCTGCCTCTGCTCTCGCCACCCATTCTCCTGAGCAGCCTCTCTAACTCCACCTGATCCTGGAGTCCTCTTCATGCCGGGAAGCCTCCTATGACCCTGGCTCTGTTTGTAGCAGCTGCCCACAGGCCTCTGCAGGAGCTGTCTACACCGCCACCGGCACCGACATCCCACTGCATTCACACGCCCCTCCCTCCTGGCGCCGGGCCTAGCCCAGAGCTGATACTGGTCATGTGTGTTAGCCAAAGGGATCTACAAAACCATGGGACACTGTCTTTCACCAGGGGAGGGCAGAAAAGGCCTTGACCTCCTTCTTTTTGCACACCTTCAGTGACAAGGAACCCATCACCTCCTGGGGAATCCTGTTCCCGCCACTCTGAGGGATGGAGCCAAGTTGATCTCTCATGGTGGTCCCAACCTCCACCCCCGTGGGGCCAGCTTTGTCTGGGGACAGTGATGGCACGGTCCCTTCAAGTAGTCACACTCAGGATGGAGCCACTGGCAGACGCCTCCCCTCCCTGAGGTAACCACACTCTCCTCTCTGGTTACATTCCTCTGGACATCCCTAGGATTGGAGGCTCCATGATCCAGCTGCTCAGGACATGTACGGTTCCCTCAGGCCAGAAGCCCCCCTCCTCTAATTCTTCCTGTAAACACCCTTCCCCTCAGCCACACAGCCACCTCCTCAGAGAAGCCAGGTGTGAGTTCCCTGTCTCGGGGAGCTGCCCTGGACGGGCCCTGGCCCTGACAGAAGGGATCCCCTCTTTCTGCAACACTGTGGGATGACCCAGAAAGGAGGAAGAGGAGGAGGTGGAGTGGAGGAGAAGAGCAGACAGGGAGGCAGGAGTGAAATGGCAGACATGCTGTGGGCGGGAGGGTGAGAGGGCTGTGGCTCCTGATGAGGCCTGGAAATCTTGCCGCATAAAGGTCAGCGGTGACCTTGGTCAGGGCCTTGTGGTGAGTGATGGGAGGGCTGGGAGCAGACTGGGGACGCGAAGGATGGGCAGGGCTGGGGGCAGGGGTGAGAGAACAGATAGTGCATGTAAAATCGTAGGCCCCAGGAGGTGGGTTTTTAACGTGTGAGAGACCTGCGCTGTTCAGATGCTGATGGGAAGAACCTGGAAGGGGAAGGTGGCTGTACAGACAGGTGAGTACAGGTGAGTGGCCAGTCAGGGTCCAGGGAGTGGGGCTCGGGACTCTGGCAGAAGGACCCAAGAGAAGAGGGAGCCTCTGCCTTCGGATCAGGGTTGGGGACACAGATGCAGTGCTGGGAGGTGACTGGTTTCTAGTCTCTCCATGGAGGAGGAAGGCGGGCCATCTGCCCAGAGAGAAGGCTGGGGGCAGGAGGGGAGTGGTGTGCAAGATGGTGAGGTGCTCTCCCAACCTTGGCGGGGGGCTGCGGGGTGCTGGGTAGGGAGGGCAAGCGGCCGGCCCGGCAAAGACAAGCCGAGGCCAGCTGTGATGGTGAGCAGCACGTCTGGCAGCAGGGATCACCGCCCAAGGCCGGCTTCCCCAGCTTTGCTCCAGGCTGTGGAGGTGGGGGAGGGCGCCTCCAGGCCGGAGGCTGCTGGGATTCCTCCAGGGCTGGGGGGCTGCCAGCCAGGGCGGGACCAAAAGACGGGCAGCCAACAGAGCTGCGGATGCTGGCAGAAGAGTGCTCAAATGATGGACCAGGGAACCTCAGCTGGGGAGGGAAGAAAATGAAGACAGAAGGGGCAGCAGGGGAGGAAGCAAGGCCCAGTGTCCTGCTGAGTCCGGAACCCGCGTCCCACAAGGGACTGAGAGTGGGCTGGAGGGCCTGAAGACTGTGGGTGGGTGGGGGGGGAGGCTGACTCAGCGATTTTGGGGTGGAACAGTTCCAGTAGTGACATGGCCTTGGGTAGCCATCAGTGGGGGCGGCTGGAGTGGAGAGCAGAGGAGCGGGTCACTGGAGATGACGAGGTCATGGAACGAACAGCCACAGGCTCAGACAGGCTGACACGTGGCTGCTGAGCTCTTCCTGAGTGAGGGCAGGAGTGAGGAGATGGGAAGACTTAAGCCACGATCACCCATGAATGGAAGGGGCGGGGAAGTGACGGCCTGCCACAGGATAGTGCTTGGCTGCTTTAAGCACGCTTGCTGCTTGCAGCCAACCTCCAGCAAAGAGCTGGCGGCTGTGCGGCCTCAGTCACGCTCGGAGCCCTCTCCAGTTTCATGGCCTGGCAGGCTGCGACCAAGCCTCTAAGGGTACCAAGAAAGGCCAGGAGCTAGCTGCACAGGCAGGTGGCCAAGCGGGCAGTGGGATGGATGACAACTGCCCTCTGACCACTGGCATGGGTCAGGCCTTCTCTGGCCAGCCTAGCTGGCAAAGCCAGAACATTCATCAGGAAGCTGAAAGAGCCTTGTGCAAACAAGGTGAAGGCTGGACTCTGGTAATAAATGCATTGCTTCCTGGTATGTCCCCAGCTCTGGCCTTGGGGCAAGGGATTCGCAGGCCCAGGCCAGGGGGTTGACTGACAGACACATGGGATGCTCCAGCGTGACCCCGACTCAGCAGCACAAGACATGCCCCATCTCTGGCCTCCCGCCCCAGAAAGACCATGTCATGTAGTCTGTACCCTGACCAGAGCCAGGGAGGTGCAATTCCAGGCCCAGCCAGGACAGCAAGGAGGTCCCAAGAAAGGAGACCTGTGACTGGGAAAGAGACTGCTTCCCAGCCTGGGCAGGTTCCCTGAGCCCTTCAAGGGTCCCAGCCTGTGGCCTCCACCCAAGGAGGGAGCCCTGCTGGCTGCAGCCCCTCCTTGAGCAAGTAGATCTTGAGTAAGTGGCTTCTCTTTGCTAGGTGTGAGAAGCAGGGCAGGCAGGAAGCACCTAGCCAGGCAGGTGTGCCAGGTGCCAAGGAGGCGGGTGGGAGCACCAAAATGAGGGAATGGTAAAAGCTCGACAGTGCCCATAGAGTACCTGGAAATGCTTCCCCACAACACACACTCACACACTCCACTAACGCAGCGCCCACTCATTTAAGCTAGCCACCAATCACACCTCTGGGGCCGTCTCTTTGTTCACCAGGCTTGGCTCCTGGCTCCTGGGCTATCCCGGCAGAGGGAGCCTCTCTAGTTCCGTTTCCACAGGCATACCTGGCAAGCAGGGGCTGCCTCATCCACGTGCCCCTCCCCCTCAGCCTACAGGACCTAGCGGCCTTTCCTCTGCTCAGCTTCTCCAGAAGCCTAGTAGAGGCAGGGCTACACCGAGGGGTTAGACAGTGGGGAAGCCAGGCAGTCAAGGGTCATAAGCATGGGGACCTGGGGAAATGGGAAAGGTAGCCAGGTGTTCAGACTCCCCCTTTTCCCTAAGACCCAAGGCCATGGACAGAGAAGATGGAGAATGGGCCTCAGCCCAGACAGGGCCAGAGCGCCTGACTGGTGCATTCCAAGAACCTGGCTCCCCAGAGCTCTGCCCATCCCCTTAGCCCTGACCCCAGGATGGAAAGTGGGGACCTAGCAAGTGTTCAGTATGCATGCTGCAGGGTGAGGGAGAAAAAGTGCTCCCATCATCCCTGGTCTCCCCACCCCAATTTCTGTAATGCCAGGGGTGCAGGGAAAGGGGCTTCATCCAACACGACAGTGTGGGACACTCTTGCCTGCCCACCAGCTTCCCAGGCAGCACTGAAGTGGCTGGTGGTGGCCTGGAGGTCCAGGGTTGCCGAACGGCCAGTCCAGCCACACGGCCCAGGAAGACCCTGCGGGCAGCTGGCCTGAGCCCATGCTAGACCAGCCGCAGCAGGTATAGCTATGCTGCCCAGTGGGAGGGGAAGGCACTCCAGGCCACACTTACGTAATGAAGTCCAGGAAGCTGGCGAGGGGCTCATAGGCGTGGTTCCTCATGTGGCGGAACTCCACCACCATCTTCTCCTTAAGCCGGTCATCAATAACCGACACGGTCAGCGGCGAGGCCTCATTGGCCAGGAAGTTGCCGTAGTCAGTGCTCTGCAGGTGCAGCTTCAGGTCTGAAAGCCGAGGCAGGGGGTGGGGGCGTGAGGGTCGGCCATGCTGAGCCTCCCCAGCACCCCAAGACCTCATCCCCACCCGGACTCTGGGCCCCAGGCTCTCCCCTGGAGTTGTGGCCTGCTGCTACCCTGCCTTCACCTCCCTGTTGGCTCAGGCCCTACTTCCAGGGCAGTCAGGCCAAGGCTCCAGAGATGTCCCAGACCCTTGGGCCATGAGCCAGTACACTGGGCCTCAGAGGCCAAGCACAAGTAGAACAACTGTTCCTCCAAAGGACAAGAAGGCCTGGGAAACCCCAACCCGGGTGCCATTTACAGCCCATCGCCTTTGAGGCCCTTCTGTCTGCTGGGCTCTGGGATGGCCTTAACCTAGAGCAGGGTAAGACACGGGCCCCGCCCGCCAGAGCCTCAGGGCTAGCAGAGCAAGCCCACACACTCCGGGCAGAAACAATGCCTATAAAGTAAAGGCGGCAGGAGTTGAGTGAACACCAACATAAGGACAGAGACGGTGAGAGAACACGCCAGGCTGGGCCGCAGCAAAGGGCAGGGGCAGGGACATACAAGGGCAACAGCCAACAGGATGGCCTGAGGGACAAGCGGCCTGGAGGACAAAAGAGTGGCGTGAGGGGAAGATGAGGCTGGGAGGGAAGCCTGGCCTTGCTGTAAGCAGGGCGGGAGGCACACAGGCCCAGCCTCCGGGCTCTTCTGAGCAATCAGGGACAGCGTCAGGGAAAAGGGACGAGAGGAACAGCAGAAGGGTCCTGGGTGGGAAGGTCAGCTGAGACCCAGTGGGATGAGGGCAACAACCGAATAGTCGCCTGGCTTTTGCCCTTGTTTCCCACCCCTGGTCTCTTCTCTACCAGCAGCCACAGCGATCTTGACACAAGGAAGAGCATGTCACTCGTCTGCACGGCCTCACCTCAGGGCCTTCCCTGTCCCTCTGCCTAGAGAGTAATGCTCTCTCCTCAGACATCCCCTCTTCAAAGACCTCTCCTGCAGCCTCCCCACCCTGTCCCTTCACGTGTGCTGCTCTTCCTCGTAACACTGTTCCACCTGTCACAGGACCCGGACGCTCCATGATAGCAGGGATCTGGGGCCACTGCAGTGTCCCCGGGGCCTAGAACAGAGTATGCTCTGGTGCGTTTTCATGCTCAGTAAATAACTGGGGAATGGACAAAAGTCTGGGGAGAGTGTTGGGTGAGGACAGCAGGTGGGTTTAGTCCTGGATTTTGAAATGCGGGACACTGGAGCAGCGACGGCAGTATCAAGGACAGTGGCCGAGAAGGTACCCATATGTGCGTGCGTGCGTGTACGAAGGCCCAACAGCCAAGGCGGGCTTCTGCTGTAAGGAATGACGTGTTTTCTGTCCCATGGGGAGGCTGTCCAGGGGACGACAGAGAGGGTAACACTCGTGAACATTTCCACAAGCCCCCCTGATCAAGCCTCCCTTGTGTGTCTGTGGGCCCGGAGGGCCATGCTATCCGGGGCTGCTTCAAAGGAAGGGTCAGTGTGGCACGTAATTCCCTTGAAGTCCCTACCCCTGTACCCCATCAAGAGAAGAACGCTCCCAGCCTGGAGTCAGGGGTGCTAAAGGAGAGATGAAGGAGCAGGTGACGGGGGGAGGTGAGAGGGAGGGAGGGGCGTGTGTGCCCCTGGCTGAGATGTCTTCCCCCTGCAGCTCTGGGTGGCACCTGGGTGGCCGCCAGCACTCATGTCCTCTGTGGCTCCCGGGCCCTCACAGAGTGGACTTTAGCCTCGTGAGGGCTGCAGGAGGCCTTCACCTGCTGCTGCTCTTGCCATCGCCCTGCCGCTCACATCTCCTTCTCTCCACAGCCCCCCAAAAGTGGGACAGAACCGAGGGCAAGGTAGGGCAGGGAGAAGCCACCAGCCCCCTGCTCTACCCCATGGACCTTGCTGCCTTTGGCCCAGGAGGTGTGCACACTCCTATGTCCTCACCCCAGGCTGTCTGCCATGAGTCCCTCCCCTGGGTTCCATTCTTCCCCAGCCCTACCATGGTCTGGCCAAGGCCCACCTATGCTTAGACTAAGGCATAGGTGAGAGAAGGTGTTTTGCTTAGTGGCACTTGAGTTGTTGCAATGTTTAATTACCCATTTGGTTGTCAAAGAAAAATTCTTAGCCATAACTGATGGTCGCTGGAATAGTACATCACTTTGTATTCCTACCTCTAGTAATGGGCTTTATGTGCCAGATTTTAACATCTTCGACCCTGGAAAAGCACAGAATTCTTTTCAAAAGAAACACGGTTTTACTTGCACACAACTGATCAGTTTTGAGGGATCCTTAATGCTCTCGAAGTGGTTTTTGTGGATGTGAAACAGAGAGCGAGAATATGAACTGATCCCTGTTACTATAGTATTGAAATTAATATACTTTATCACACATTGTGACGCTTGAAAAACAAAGTGGGCAGGGGGTTCTGGCCAGGGCACAGCAGGTGCTCAAATCCCCACTAGGGGAAGCTGCAGAGCCGACAGCAGCTGGAAGCCGGGGCTGGAATGTGGTGCTCTGGGTCAGACCGTCTAGTGCGGTAGCTGCCAGACCAAACCTGTTCGTTGATCCACCCAGCCACTGCAGCCGGCAGAGAGCCCATCTCAGGCAAGAAGACTCCTTCCTCTCTAGCTCACAGCTGGTCCTGGAGGCCAGGGCAAAACCCAGTCCCCTTAGCAGGGCCCCTCATGCCAGTGACCCCACTATTATCTGGGACAGCAAGTCCAGGCCCCGGGCCCCAGGCCAGCCTCCTGCCTGCTCCTCTCCAAAGCATCCTTGCATGCGCTGCTAAAGGCTTCCCTAAATGCTGTCCGCCTAGCCTCAGCTCTCCGGCAGTGTGCCCTGCCTCTACCTTTCTTTCTTTTTTTTTTTTAAAGATTTTATTTATTTATTTGACAGAGAGAGACACAGCGAGAGAAGGAACACAAGCAGGGGGAATGGGAGAGGGAGAAACAGGCTCCCCGCTGAGCAGGGAGCCCGATGCGGGGTTCGATCCCAGGACACTGGGATCATGACCTGAGCCAAAGGCAGACGCTTAACAACTGAGCCACCCAGGCACCCCTGCCTCTGCCTGTCTAAACAGGGCTTCTCTTAGCTGGGAAGGTGCGCTCCACAGCTTCCCCACTGCCAAGTACCCTCCCCGCTCTCCAGCTCCCACTGACTCTCCATCCAATACACTGGTCAAGTGGGAGTCAGCACCCCAACACCAACACTGGTTGAAACCCAGACCCACTCTAACTGGAAACAGAGGGGTCCCTGCTGTGTACTCAGTCCCGTGCCAGGAGCAACCTGTGCGCTGGACCTCCCAGCCACGCCCATTTCACAGACTTAGAACTAAGAGCAATCAGAGGGAACATGAAACCTATCCAGAGTCCCAGTCAGGTGTTGAGGGACCGGGATGTGGATCAAACCTGGTGGATTCTGGTCTCCAATTCTGGCCTCCTCTCCTCCCCCACCCTTTACATCCTTGACCACGTCCTCCCACGGCCCTTGGCCCAGGGTGGGCCTTGCAACTGCCTAGACAGACTTTAGTCCCAGAAGAGCTGGCAGGGGGCAGGGGGCAGAGGGCATGCCGCCTTCATGACCTTGGAGGCAGCCTGGACACTCACTGCCCACCTGATGTCATGCCTCAGCAAGCCCCTCTGGTATCACCTGTAGCCACGTCTATTCCTAGAGAAGCCAGGAACATGTGCCTGTAAATGAGAGGAGCAAAGCTGAGGGGTGGGCTCTTCCTTGCCTGCTCCCACCCGCGGGGCTCAGCACAGGCCTGACAGCAAAGCCCCCGGGGCCTTGGCCGCTGCGTTCTGCTGACACTGCATCTGGGGAAGCCGCGGCTCCCAGCGGGGCTGGAGCACAGACGGCTGCCTGGTTTCTGCTGGCTTTTGTTGAGATCGTGGCAAACCCAGGAGACTCTACTGAGAATCCTGCCCAAGGCCCAAGGAGTCTTCCTTACCAGGAAACTCATTTTTTAAAGGCCCCCCCAGGGATGATGTCAAAGGGCCGTTCCAGACCACTTTCCCTGGCCAAGCCCTGCGTCTCCCTGTGAACCAGGGAGAGGGGACAGCCTGCCAGCCAAGAAGGCGACTTGGAGGCAGGCAGGCTAGCCGATCCCTCTGCTTGGACCACACAGTGCTTCTGAACCAGCTCTGACCCTGTTCAAGCAACCTGGCGTCCAGGACCAGTTATGGGCAGCCCCAAGCCCTTCAGACAGTCCTCAGGGCTGGGAGGAGGCCCACTAGAACCACCCCCTCCACCACCACCAGCAGCTTCCTGCAGGCTCTGAGGGACGCAGAGAAGGGGGGGTGACTGGGGGGTGGGATCTAAACACAGGAGGAAAGGCCTGGAACTGGTTGAGAGCTTCGTGGGAGACCCAGCCCCCAAGGGCGGCCAAGGAGCCAGGGGCTCTGGGAAGGCAGGGGCTAGTTCTCTGTGCCTCGAGCTCAGCAGCCTGACAGCCTCGGTGACAGCCCCTGAGAGCCCCAGACGTGCCTGGGCTGAGGCATGAGCAGTGTTCTGGTTAGCATACACTCAAGGGACCGCTCTGGTCTACCCACAAGCCCAGCTGTCTACCCCAAATCCTCCCATCCGTGGCCCAGCACCAGGAATGTCTGGCCAGCTTGGGAGCTCTCATAGCAAAAAGACTTCCTCGGAGGCTGATTTCTCATGTCCAAGAGGACGCTGCTGCTATCAGGAAGTTCTCTCTGCAGTCTGACCTAAACCCCTCCTGAGAGGAAGCCCACCAACTCAGTTTCCCAGTGCCTCCAGCCTCCCCTGAGGGCTCTGGGCTTGCTCCTCAGCACCCCTCACCCCACTCAGGACCTTCCCCTACCTCCTCTGCTTCCCAGGGTCGCCTGTCCCAATATTACAGTGACTCTCCCCACAATTCCCATCTTCCGGTGCCAGTCAGGCCTCCTCACCACCATGGTGCCCTTTTGCTGGCCTCCTGCCCCATGTTTTGGCTCCCTGCCCCCAAGTCCTCTCACACCGTCACTAGA